TCTGAGGTTCTATTACTCCAGGTTATGGAACCCTTAAGCCAGAACTCTTCATGGCCATGTTAATTATTCATATGTCTAATAGATGACAGTGTTCACATCTGAGGTTCTATTCCCTCAGGTTATGGACATCTTAACCCAGAACTCTTCCTGGCTATGTTAATTATTCATACGTCTAATAGATTGCAGTGTTCACAACTGAGGTTCTATTCCCCCAGGTTATGGAACCCTTAATCTAGAACTCTACATGGCCATGTTAATTATTCATACGTCTAATAGATGACAGTGTTCACATCTGAGGTTCTATTACTCCAGGTTATGAAACCCTTAACCCAGAATTCTTCATGGCCATGTTAATTATTCATACATCTAATAGATGACAGTGTTCACATCTGAGATTCTATTCCCCCAGGTGATGGAACCCTTAAGCCAGAACTCTTCATGGCCATGTTAATTATTCATACATCTAATAGATGACAGTGTTCACATCTGAGGTTCTATTCTTCCAGGTTATGGAACCCTTAAGCCAGAACTCTTCCTGGCCATGTTAATTATTTATACGTTTAATAGATGACAGTGTTCACATCTGTGGTTCTATTCCTCCAGGTTATGGAAGCCTTAACCCAGAACTCTCCATGACCATGTTAATTTTTCATACATCTAATAGATGACAGTGTTCACAACTGAGGTTTTATTCCCCCAGGTTATTGAACCCTTGATCCAGAACACTTCATAGCCATGTTAATTATTCATATGTCTAATAGATGACAGAGTTCACATCTGAGGTTCTATTCCCCCAGGTTATGGAACCCTTAACTCAGAACTCTTCATGGCCATGTTAATTATTCATACATCTAATAGATGACAGTGTTCACATCTGAGGTTCTATTCCCCCAGGTTATAACCCTTTTCCCAGAACTCTTCATGGCCATGTTAATTATTCATATGTCTAATAGATGACAGTGTTCAAATCTGAGTTCTATTCCCTCAGGTTATGGAAATCTTAAACCAGAACTCTTCATGGCCATGTAAATTATTCATACGTGTAATAGATGACAGTGTTCACATCTGAGTTCTATTCTTCCAGGTT